TGCTTAGCAGACCGAGCCGTTTGGCTAAGCATAGTCACTCTTCCCCTCTGAGTAGCTTGCCGCGCTGGTGGTGACAATGGGGGTGGGAAGGGCTCCCCTTACGTCCTCTTGATGGCCCTCCGAACGGCTCGGAAAGCTCAGATGAATGCGAAAACAACATCATTGTCATCTGCATACATGCAGATAATCTGGGAGCAGTCAAAGCGCCCGAAGTCTTTCCTTCCACCGGAAGAACGAAGAGAAAATTCTGCGTGCTTAGCTTCTTCTTATCAACTCGGTTGACGATGGGTTGGTTGCCCTGCTGTATCCCGACCCGACCCATCTTTCCTCGTACGTACAGTACTCTAGTGTATGTGCGGCACCCGCAATCGACGGGAATCGACATGCACGATTGGACGACTCTGGCAGCAAGAGAGGGTCTCTCGCGTCGTGAGTAAAATAAGATGGCATCATCAGTGTGACGGGCGGTGGTCGGCCGTGCAATTTGATGGATGGAAGTTCTCTCTCCCCATCATCATTTCATTTCATTTCCTAACGGTCTAATGAAACTTAGCGCCCGGCGTTTTATTAACCTCAGCCTTGGCATTCCCCTTTTGGTCAAGCATCGACTTGCAGTGCGTTGCCGGCACGGCAGAAGAACTTACAGGAACTCGGGACTCAACCTCGCTCATCTTCCGTACATCATAACACATATGCAGCTACCTACCCGAAAAAGTAAACCTGATTATTGGATCCCCATTGAAGAACAGTTCGGAGGAAACTCCAGCAGAGAAAGAAAGAGAGAAGCCGAAGACCAAAAAGTGGCAGAAGATGATGGGCACTCAGGCTGCGGCTACAACCTTGTCTGCATGCGGATCATTGGGGGGGCGCGGCGGATCATGGATCTGGATTCACCGGACTCATACAGACATTACAACATTATTGCTCTCCTAACTTGAATCCCTTCTCCGACTGGACTGGAATCATCGACTTAAGGCCAAATTATTTGCGCCTTCTGGCAGATTACCATTCCCTCGTTCCCACGTAATTGTCCAATCTGCGAGTCTCCATGCAGGCTTATGATTGGCAAGATAGCAAATTAGTGGTCTCATTGCCCCATAGTTGTACTGGCTTGGTTTCGGTACGGCACCCACTCCGACTAACGTCGACGCTGCTGCAGGTCTAAGACCTATTCTTAGGCTTGCCTGGCCTGATCGAATTGTGAATGAGGGAGAGCGAGTGAGCGAGTGAGTGAGTTGACGTGAGTTGAGTGAGACTTGACTTGGGCCTGCTTGCCCACGCGGGTGGTTTCCATGGGTCCTGCGGAGGTCATGTCGAAACTCGCTGTCTCTGTGGTCTCTTTCTGTCTTGTTCTTGTCTTGTTTTGCCGTCCTGGTTCAATCCTCGCCTCATACAGCTTGGCCTACTATTCTTCTTCCCCTCCTCTTTCTTCCTTCTCCTCTTCCCTCTTACCCTCTACCCCCTCCTCCCCTCTCCTATCAATTCCCCCATACCTCGACTACCTCCTATTTTTGTTTCTTTTTTAATCTGTTTTTTTTTTTTCTCCTGATCTCTCTTCTTCGCATCCACCGCATTAACCTATCTAATCCTGATCTTGACTTGTCTCCCGATCTGAGGCGTTGAGTCCATTCACTTGTCCTTTTCTTGTTCGTCAACGGAACCACCGCCGTCGGGACTGGCTGGGCTATCCCAACCTGTGCAGTACAGTAAGCCCGCACAGTGAGCAGTGCCAACAACGACAGGGGCCAGTGCGATTCTATTGTAGCCCAAAAGGAAGTATCGTACCCGCCAGTTCCGCCGACGAACTGAGACCGACACGAAGTCGAACTCAGGGCGAACAAGCGAATAACCGACGACAATCCGTGGTGGCAGACTAGGTCCGGAACCTTGGGTTTAGCGTGGATCCTCTGCCCGGTGGGAGCCTCAAAGCAATTTACTCGCATTCAGCTTCGGTCTTTTTCCTCTTCTTCTTCGACCCTCATTAGAGCCGCCCCGCGGTCAATCTCGAAACTCCTCCCGCAAGCGTTGCTCTGCTGCTCGGCCAGTATGGATCTGACTGGAAAGCGCAATCAATAAGCCATACAACGATCAGGTCAACCTCGGAACAACATTGGATCCACCACACCATTGTATCTTTCCGCTTCTTTCTTCTTTTCTTCTTGTTTGCAGGTAGGTCAGTCAACTTATCTGCTGGATCTCACTGCCCTCCGTCAATTATTTCGGATTCAATGGAGCTGTTTTGGTTAGACATACTGACATCAAGGTCAGCATTTCGCACTAGGTCTGCGTCTATGCCTTTCGGGTTCTCTTCTCTTCATCTTGTCCTATTCAACCGGTTTTTGTCGGCTGCTTGTCCCGGCTGACGTCCACTCATTGCTATTCTCAAACTATCGCCGTGGGGAACTCTCACCAGCAGCATCTCAACTCGTTTTTCGACAGTCGCTCTCTTAGCATTCGATATCGCACTCTTTTTTCTGGTGTCTTTCGTTATTTATCGACTGAATCTCGTCACTTGTTTTCTTTCTCCACGCTCTTTCGACTTCCATAGCAACCGACTTTCGCACGGCCTTCGCCATCACACTCCTTACACTGAGCAGTCGCGTGTTTCGCAGGCAGACAACCTTATTTCATATCCTTACTTTCGCATTTCAGTCGATATAGTGGGCAGAGTGGACAGTCGTGGTAGGGGTTCTCAAAAACACGGCTATAGTGGAGGTTCACTGCGCAGATTCATTTAGGTGAGAAATCGGCGGGTCGACGCGCAACAGAGGCTTAGGCAGAATGGCCCATCATGGAAATGGGCATACGCGATTCAACAGATCGATGAGGAAACGATACCAGTCAGACGCAGGTGGGATGGGAGTCACAGGCCGGAATTTAGACGCTAAAGATTTGCCGACCACGATGTTGCACGGAAATGTGGTGTCCGGGGTGAGGGGCGAGCTTGTGATCGGTCGGGAGAGCCAGACTCAGCAGTCACAAAACAGTGGGCAATCGCTACACCTGAAACGTCAGGAATCAAACACATCTTCAGACGATCAGACGACAGTTGTTGCGACAGTGGTCAACGTGGTGGACAGCGGCTCACAGACGACGGGGCTGAGCACAACAGAAACCCCCTCCGCCACATCTGACGAGTCCACTCAAGCAACAACATCTGGCTTGTCAGCGGAGTCAGGCTCGGTCACGGCGCCAACATCGGCAACCGGATCCGCCGACAGGCAATTGACCGCGTCGCCAGCGTATTCTTCTCCCACCGCAGATACCCCTACAGTGACCACGGCCACTGAGCCGTCCACCTCCGTCCCTCCGTCCAGCCTGAATCCGTCCAAATCATCAACCCCTCTCTTTGGCACTACCTCGACCCATCTGCCGGCATCCTCCACCCCTATTCGACCGACAAGCACGGGCACCGACTCAAACGCAACTTCGACTCAGACTTCCAGCACCGTTACCACGTCGAGTTCGAGCGTGTCCTATGTTGACGGTTATCAAACCGGCACGACGACTTCTCATGTTTCATTCGAAGCGGCCACGACATCCCTTTCTGGTACGTCCTCCTACGCTGGAGCCTGGGGGACGGCCACGAATGGCGCAGTGGGAGGGGCAGACGCCACTGCCACCGGGCAATCACCATCGGCGACCACCGCAGCCGCCGCTGCTGGCGGTCTCAGCACTCAAGCCAAAGGCAAGATAGCTGGCGGTGTGGTTGGGGGAGTAGCGGGTGCCATGGTGTTTGTTGTCTTGCTTTGGCTTCTGCTGCGCCGACGCAAGAGGGCTATTCTTCCTCAGACACGTGATGCTCTCCCTGCAGCAGACATGGCTGGTACAGCCACTACCGAAGGATCCATCACCCGCTCGGCGGAGATGACTTCGCGCCGATCCAGCAATGACCCGTTGTTTACCGCCTCGTACTTTGCTCCGGCGTTCATGCAACGGTGGCGCCAATCGCACATGACCACTCGGACGACGGATTCGGTGTGCTCTGATAGTAGCGAACGTGGCTTCCAGAAGATTTCGGGCCGGAAAATCCCCTCTGTGTTGCATTCGGGCGGGGATGGTTATGGTGGCGGCGTCGAGCAGACCTCACCTACGGCATCTGAGCCTAGCTCTACTTATGCCGCTCCAGGATCTCCTGTGATCCCGCGGTCGCCTCCCTCGCAACCTCCCTCGCAGCCCCCGTTGACTACACCGTATGGCATGCCCCTAGACACGAGCTATACTCGAGAGGCGGATGAGCCTGTTCCGGTAGTCAAGTTCCGGCCATCTCCTGCTCGGACTGTGACGGGGTCCAGTGGCGGTTTGAACAGCGAACCTTCAGCGCCGCGTATGATTCCGTCCGTGCATGTGCAGGTGTCTGGGTCTCTTTCGCCGACCATGCCTAAACGACCAGATGCGTTAGGTCGCAGCCATCCTAGTTTCGATGGCAGTCGAGGCAGTCGCTTCACGGAAAGTATTTGAACCACGCTTGCCTGGAAACGGTGGACGGCGTTTGTCGTCTTTTACCCGGTGCATATATGCTTTTGAGTTTCTGTACATAAATCTGGAGAAGTTGTACATGGGTTCCTGGGTGAGCGTTGGAAGACTTGGTGATGACTGGCCGGCAAGGAAAGAAGGGGGTTGTTGTTTGGCCAGTTCGGAGACCGTGACGGAGGAATGCTGGGTCTTTTGAGACACGTCTTGATTCTGCACTACTTGCTAGCCTGTTTTCTTTTTTTTTCTTTTTATATGGATACCCCAATTCATTTCTTTCTTAGTCTGTTATTTGAGGGGGCTCAATGTACATTCGCCTGTCAATTCTCTAATTCATGGACGATCTGTCGGTATTAAGTGATCTATAGTTCGATAGTTCTATAGCTACCTGTCAATGACGGTCGATCGTTGCTCTGCTGGCAGATGACATAAGATGTCGTGGACCAACCAGCAGTGAGGTATTCTCAGCATTCTCCTACGAGTATAAAGAAGTCATACCTAGACTTCCACTCTGAACCACCTCCTCTTCCTAACTCACACCACTGATCGGAGCCATAATGAAAGAGCCTGCCCTCCCCATCTTACCCTCCACTCTTCCTACCGCCCATCCTTCTCCCCGCCCGGTCCGGTTCCTCGTCATCGGTGCGGGATCGCGGGGCAATGCGTATGGGCGGGCGGTGACCAGCTCCACCGCGGGGATCATGCACGCTGTCGCCGAACCCCATCCCTTCAAGCGTCGCCAATTCGGCCGCAACTACATCTGGGGCACCAACAATCACCCTCAAGAGGGGCAGGAGTTCGCTGACTGGCGCGACTGGCTCGCCTGGGAGGTCCGTCGTCGCGAGCTGGCCTCGTCTCCTGGAGCAGCCGCAGCCGCAGCAGGGGTGGACGGAGTCTTCATCTGCACCCTCGACGAAACGCACGTGGAGATCATCCACGCTCTCGCCCCTCTCCGCCTGCACATCCTGTGCGAGAAACCGCTCGCCCTCTCGCTGACCGACTGCCTCGGCGTCTACCGCGCCCTGCAACCCAACACCGCCACCTCCATCTTCTCCATCGGCCACGTCCTCCGCTACAGCCCGCACAACATCCTCCTCCGGCGCCTCCTCCTCACCGACCGCGTCATCGGCGACATCGTGTCCCTGGAACACTGCGAGCCCGTGGGCTGGTGGCACTTCGCGCACAGCTACGTCCGCGGCAACTGGCGGCGCGCGACGCCCGCGGGCGATGGCTCGCTGCTGACCAAATCGTGCCACGATATCGATTTCATCATGTGGCTCCTCGCCTCCCCTGTTGCACCTCCCAGCACATGCACAACAACACCCCCGCAGCCGCACCACCCCCGCACCATCACCTCCACCGGCTCACTGACCCAATTCCGCCCGCACCGCAAACCCCGCGCCGCCGGCGCCGCGACCAACTGCCTCGCCTGCCCCGCCGAGCGGGACTGCAAGTACAGCGCCGTGCAGATCTACCACGAGCGGCACGTGGCCCGCGGCGAGTTCGACTGGCCCGTCAACATCGTGTGCCCGGATATCGAGGACGTCGTGGCGCCGTACCTTGCCCCCGCCAATGCTGCTGCTGCTGCTGCTGCTGCTGCTGCTGCTTCTCATCCCCCCACCCCCGAAGCAATCGCAGCAGCATCCACACACCTCCTCGCCCGCCTCCGCGCCTCGCGCCCCCTCTCCCGGACGGAACCCGGCGGGCCCCCGTCCTACGGCCACTGCGTCTACGAAGCCGACAATAACGTCTGCGACGACCAGGTGGTGACGATCACGTGGGCCGATCAAACGGATCCGACGGATCCGACGGATTCGTCACAGCAACAGGCAGCGACGGCGACGGCCAAAACCGCCGTCTTCCACATGATCGCGCCGACGGAGAAGCAGTGCGAGCGGCGCGGCCGCGTCTACGGCACCGAGGGCGAGCTGGCGTACGACGGGCGGCGCATCGAGTACTTCCGGTTCGCGACGGGGCAGACGACGGGCCTCGACGTGCCGAAGCAGCCGCCGGAGGAGGAGAGGGCGCACGGCGGCGGGGACTATGGGCTGGCGCGCGGGTTCGTGGCGGCCGTGGACGCGGTGGTCAACGGCGGGTGGGCGGCGGAGAAGGCGCAGGCGCGGTTCGTCGGGTGTACGTTGGAGGAGGCGGTGCGGAGTCATGCGGTGGTGTTTGCGGCGGAGGAGGCGCGGCGGGAGGAGAAGGTGGTCAAGTGGGCGGAGTGGTGGGAGGGGAAGTTGGGGGGTTCTTCGTGATAGGTTTCCAGGCGGTGTTGCTGATGGTTTTGGGTCTGGGGGTTTCAAGAGCGAGCGAGCTATATGATTTATGACTTTTCAGGTTCAAGACAGTTAATGATTATTGATGAATAGTCTCAAGTGCTACCGCGCTGGGTTTATTATTTCGCTATCGCTATATTAACTAACGTGCTTGATTTCCGTAGGCTCGTATAGAGTAAGTATTTTAGATAGGTAGGTATGTGCAAAAGGTTTCTAAGTGCGGACATCGGGCTCCTCACGGCCGATGAACTCCTTGAACTTGAGGAGGTCCAGGGCCAGGGCGACGTTGTCCTTGAGGTACTCGTCCGTCTTCTGGGCGAACTTGCTGGCGTCGTTCTCGTGCTTCTCGATGTACAGACGGATGGTAGCACCGCTGCTACCGGTGCCGGAGAGACGGACGACGAAGCGGCTGCCGTCGTCGAACTTGACATACAGACCCTGGTTCTTGGAGACGCTGCCGTCGAGATCGGTGTAGGAGAAGTTGCCGGCGTCGGCGACCTTGCGGCCGGAGACGGTTGAGCCAACGAACGAGTCCTTGTTGTCGACGTACTTGGCCAGAGTGGCGATGACCTGGTTGGCACCGTCGCTGTCGACGTTCTCGTAGTCGTAGCGGGTGAAGAAGGTGCGGCCGTAGGTCTGCCAGAACTCGTTCTGGATGGAGGCGATGCTGGGGGTCTCGTTGGGCTTCTGCTGGGCGACGCCGGCGATGACATTCAACCACGCCACGATGGCCCACAGACCGTCCTTCTCGCGGATGTGGTTGCTGCCCGTACCGAAACTCTCCTCACCGCAGATGGAGATCTTCTTGTTGTCGAACAGGTTGCAGAAAAACTTCCAGCCGGTGGGCACCTCGTAGCTCTGGAGACTCTGGGCCTTGGCCACGAGGTCGACGGCACCCGAGGTGGGCATGGAGCGGGCAAGGCCGTACACGCCCTGGTTCTTGAAGTAGGGGATCAGCTTGGCGTGGTGGGCGATGATGGCCAGACTGTCACCGGGGGAGACGAAGGTGTTAGCACCGTAGATCATGTTGCGGTCACCGTCACCGTCACTGGCGGCACCGAAGTGGATGCCCTCCTTGTCGACCCGCTCGACGAGCTCATGAGCGTAGACCAGGTTGGGGTCGGGGTGGCCACCACCGAAGTCGGTCTTGGGCTCGCAGTTCATAGTGCTGCTCTCGGGAAGACCCAGCTCGCGGACGAAAATGTCCACACCGTAGGGTCCGGTAACACCGTGCATACCGTCGAACAGGACCTTGAAGTCCTTGTGGGTCTGGAGGAAGTTGCGGATGAGGTCGAAGTCGAAGATCTCCTTCAGCATGGTGACGTAGTCGGAGGTAGAGTGGACGACCTCGACCTCGAGGTCACCGTAGGTCTTGGATCCGATGGAGGAGATGTCCACATCGGGAATGTCAACGTAGTTGTAGGATTTGAGGGTCTTGGAGGTCTCGTAGATCTTGTTGGTGACAGACTCGGGGGCGGGGGCTCCGTTGGTCAAGTTGTACTTGATACCGAAGTCGTTCTCGGGACCTGCATGGTCACCATTGTCAGTGGCCTGATACGGGTTACTTTTGTTTGGGGGCATGGGGTTGTACTCACCACCAGGGTTGTGACTAGCAGTCAGGAGGATACCACCGGTAGCTTGACGCTTGCGGATGAGGTTGCTAGCAGCGGGGGTGCTGAGGATGCCATTCTGGCCGACCAGCAGCTTCTTGACACCATAGGCAGCACTGATCTTGGCGATCTTCTGGATGACCTCAGTGTTGTAGTAACGACCATCGCCACCAATGACGAGGAAAGCACCCTCAGCACCCTCGGGGATGGAGAGGATGATGCTGGCGATGAAGGACTCGGAGTAGTGGGGCTGCTGGAAGACCTTGACCTTCTTACGAAGACCAGAGCTGTAAAGTATTAGCTTCGTAATGGTCAGGGGGGTAGCAGAAGGCATGACTTACGTTCCAGGCTTCTGGTCGGAGAATGGGGTGATGGAGACGGTCTGGACAGACATGATGACGTGGAGGAGGGGTAAAATCAAAATAGAGGGGTATATTATTTATGTGGCAAAGGTCAGGCACGAGCTGTGGGAGATATACAGCTCACCGACAATTCAAATGGTGGGGGGAGTATAGGGAAAAGAGAAATGGAATAATTGAGAAGAGAAAGAGAAGGAAGAGAAGGACGAAGAGGAGGGGAACAGAGGGAGTAAATAAGTTGTAGCAAGAGGGAGGAGAAAGCAGGCGAAAGCAGGGTCAGGGCGGCGGGATTGGGATTGGGATTGGGATTGGGATTGGGTCTGGTTCTGGTCCCGCTCCGATGCAAGACAAAGTCTCTACGAGAAGTAAAAGGTGCGAGTTGGGAAACCCCACCTCAATCCCGATTGCGATCGCGTTCACGGGTGGCTTCGTTTGTTGTTGATTTATCGGTGGTGATGAGAATGATAATGATGATGATGATGATAACTTGCAGTGTCATCATGTGGCGACCATCACTTCTCATCATCTCATCATAATGCATCTTCCCATGCAATTGTCTTGAACAGTTATTGGACCTCCAGAATTCCTTCTCTTCCCTTCCCCTCATTTTTTACCCCTCCATACAAACGCCTGTACAAATTACCTAGGATTCTTGACCCCCTAAAAAAGCTTCCCTAAATAGAAGCGATTATTGTTGCCAGCTCAGCCCATTCCCCGCCGGTCCCAACCCACAGACCTCCCCCTTTTACTAGTAGCTGGTCTGTCGAGTACTAGTCGTCGAGCTACTAAGCTACCAGAGGCTATCTAAATAGCCGGTCCCGATAGAAGCGCATCTCCGCGATGCTTTCCAGAATGTCCTCCCGAGCCAGATGCACCTCCTTCTTCGCCGGCACCGCCGCTAACAATTCATCCGACCCCCACCGCCGCGCCATTTCCTTCAGGGCGCTCACATCGACAATCCGATAATGTAACCACTCCAACACGTTCCGGTACGGGCCCTTGGCCAGAAACGCCTTGTCCGCATGCACGCTGTTGCCCGCCAACAGCCCCGTCCGCGGCTGCGGCACATACCGTTGAATGTACGCCAACAACGCAGCGGCTGCCGACTCCGCACTGACGGTCGAAGCCTGCACCGCGGCCGTCAACCCGGTGCGACTGTGGGTTTCGATACACCACTCGTTCATGGACGCCAGCGTGGCGGGCGGCTGGTGGATGACGGTTTCGAATCCCTGCGGCTCCAAAAGCTTCAGGTCGGCGTCGGTGATGTAGCAGCAGATCTGGAGGATGTGATCGGTTTCCGGGTCCAGGCCGGTCATCTAGAATCATCCATCAAGAAGAACAGGTGCGTCAGCGGATGAGGCTCGTTGCTTTTGAAATGCAAGGACAGGCTGCAAAAAAAAAGTTCCCGAACCTCGCAGTCGATCCACACCAGGGGATCGGTGGAGCGTGTCAAGGGCATGGTGTGGTTTCGGGCTTGAAGCGCTTGAGCAGGGAATAGAGACTTTTGGTAGAACTGCCTCCGAGTGTGTCGTGAAATGGAATGAAGCGTATGGAGCGTTCGTAGAAAGGCCATGGCAGACAGCAGCAGCAAGTGGGCCGCCGGAGCTGCCTCAATTCATTACTCCCGGCGGCGGAAGGCGGCGAGGTCGGCCGGCTTGCCGCAATTGACTTCGCCAATTGTCCCAGCATACATTCTATTCTCCGTGGCTAACTCACTGTTTACAGGGGACACAGTCCCGTCTGGCTACATTTTCTAGCCTCATCTGAAGCAAATGGTCATTTTCTATGCCGAGCCTTTTCGCTCAATGCAGCCTTGGTGCAGCAGCACATTATGCCTCCCAACGAGGTAAAAGTGCATGTATGTAACTCCTGGCAAGGAGAAGTTTTTTTTTTTTTTTAGTGAGCAGCCGGGCTTGCGTCTCTACCATAGGAACTCCGAATGCGATTTGGCTGGCCAGCTGCTCCCTGATGCACCTGATAGATTCTGGTGGTGTGTACAACAAACGCAAATTTCAGCATCGCGTGTGCTGTGTGACCTGTCTCTTCCATATGTGACTATTGTACAACTGTGCCCTTTCTTGTGAAGAACTGAGCAGGATATCTGAATATTCATCAAACGAGGTATGGGCGCCAGAGGGGATTGTCTCGCCATTTCTCTAGCAGGAGCGAGCTCGCAGATGAAGACTATTTGAAATGTCTCGTCATTTGTTGTGGATTATATCCCTGAAGGTCCTCTTCGCAATGGCTGTTTGCACTTTGTAACAAGTGACTCGTCCCTGAAGATGCCTCCGGCCGTGAATCACTCTAATTCTTCAAGCCGTCTTCTCATTGTAGAAGTCTTCGTACTGCTCATACCACCGTCGGACGATATCGTCACTCATGCCCGGTGCAATTACCTCGTCGCCATGCTCCAACTTCACACTCACTTCCTCCATGAATTCTTCCACCGACAGAACACTGGGGTTCTTGTCCTTCTTGTTGTCATCCGGGTCATCCCGTTCGCGGTGCAGGTCCGTTGCTACCGAGGGAGGGACGATTTCCACTACGCGCACCTTCTCATACCCACCTTTAGACAGCTGCGTCCGAAGATTCATGCTCCAGAAATGAAGCCATGCCTTCGTGCCGCCATAGACGGGATTGATCACCGCAAAGGGCACGAACCCGAGCACGGAAGATACATTAATGATCAGAGCACCGTCAGGCTTGTTCTTGAAATGCTTGAGCAACCGCAGCGTGAGATGCATGGGACCACGAATGTTGATATCGATCTCTTGATCTGCTCGCGCGAGAATGTCTTCCGACTCCTCGTCCAAGAGCTTCAGCGGCCGTTGCACACCCGCATTATTGACCAAGCAGTCCAGGTCAGGGTGCTCGGAGGTGATCCTGGCGATGAACGAGGTAAACTGGTCGACGAGACCCGTGTCTAGCACGTAGTAGGCTGCCGCTCCGATCTCGCGAGCGGACTCCTGAAGCTTCGACTCGGTTCGGCCGGCGATAATGACTTTCTTGCCCTGCGAGATGAGGTAGGAGGAGAGCGCTTTTCCGATGCCGCCGCCGCCGCCCGTGACGAGCGCGCAGCGAAAGCTCAAGCCTGGTGAAGCCATAGCACGAAGTTTGTGATGAAATTTTCTGGGGGTGAAATTGGATCGTGAAAGGCCGTTGCTGGAAGATCGGGTTGGAGGGTAAGATTCATGCGACAATCAGGATTAGGGAGCTGAAATGAACATGATCAAGTCAAAGAAGAGAAGGAGTACTTGGAGGAGCGAAACGGAAAGTATGACGTTATGACGTAGTTTCTATGAGACCCCCGAGTCGGGATGCCGAACTTCTTCCATTCTTCCACCCCGATCTACCCCGTGGGAGTACCTGACATCAGTTCTTCCGGGTCAGTGCGCGCAACCGATCACTGCTTTGCTCCCGATGCGATAGTTCGTATTCAGAAGTGACTCTCTCTGTCCTCGCTCATCACAGCAACCGAGGCTTGACTTGATATGCGACAGCGAGCCTGGTATACCGTAAGATGTAGCACTATCCCATTGCAAAGGCGCGATTCAGCTGAACGGCAGGCCCTCGACACGGTAAGCCCTCGACGCGATACATGCCATATACTTCGCAATGCGAAAGGTCATTGCCGCGTCTCTGCCCATCACTTCTACACAGCTGTACAGGTCTCAGCTACTGCTCTTGACCCTGAGTACTTGAATCGCACATACCATCAACGTAGGCGACGAGTTCTCAACACCAGGAAACCGCGCCCCCCTAAAGTCGGATACCTAGGCAATACATAGGGAATGAGTCGTGCACGGACACAAATACAAAGTCGACGTTAATCTCGGCTTCAGTGTTACTTTTTCCTTGTGGTACGTACGCTCAGTAAGTACTCTTTGCGCATGTGACTATCGTTGATCAGGATGGGGCTCCTGAGTATTTCGGTGTCGTGCTGAATCACCCGGAGTGGGCAGGTCTGCTCCAGGAAGAGATGAAAGAACCTAATTATGGAGCTTCACCGTGGATGCACATTACAACCAAAGACTCTTGAGTCGCAGCACGAGCCAGCAAATACGAGTCGAATGGCGCCCAACACTCCAGTCAGCCTGACGCTTTTGCTTCCAGTGACACTGACTATAAGCACCGCCTCGAGAAGAGCCATGTCGTGATGTCCAGCCTAGATCAGATTTTCTCTATGGACTGTACTCAGCTTCCTGGTTAACATAATCCGGCCGTGGCTGCACGCCAAATTGTTCCTCGATTACGAGCTAGGCGCTGTGCACTCTTGCCAGAGCCTGAGAGGCTGCATCAATCCGCTGAAGAGACCAGACCCATTCCACCGACGAGGGACCGGCTCGTTGCCATCTCTGAATTCTCAGAACACTAAAAATTGAGGATTGAGTCAAGGATAGCCAGGCTTCTGAGTTTATTCTGTGAGTGCAAGAGCTATCGTCTGCGCTAGCGAAGCCCAAGGACGCGGCAACCAAGGCGTTTGGTCTGGCATAGCAGACCAACACAGTCAGAATGACAGCTGGCAGAGCAACTCCCGCAGGAAGTATGCATTTAAAAACAATGCTATGCTTGTCACCTTCTGCATTCAATGGCCTATTGTCGCGGTCTCATTAGTTGGGGGCTTCAAGCGGACTTCCGCCAAATACACTATGCTTTTTCCTGACATCAGCTGTTTGTGGCTCTCAAGCTCTCCCTATCATATGTACGTTCCTACTACATAAGTCTCAGCTGACCCTTTCGATGCACTGCGACGTCATCTATTGGAGTTGCTTGCTGCTTTGGGTACTCGAGTGAATATGTTCACGCGCAAAGTCATCAAACGAATTTGGGTTTACGTCTCATGTAAGGGTCAAACTGTGTTCTATACTAGACGAGAATATATAAGAGAAACTTGATGTCCCGTGTATGCTTTCTCACTTTTCCAGCATGAGCAAACAGGAAAATAGCCAGTTACTAATTCGGCTTGTAAAGTAGCTGGCGTGTATAACCAAGCATGGCGAGGCAAGGCTTCTTTTCTCTCCTTCTTGCCGTTCCGTTACTCGCCAATGGGGCGCAGTCATCGAATCCGCAAACATGGACTTCACTATCGAGTATCAGTACAGCAACCTGGAACGCCTTTAACGCGACGGTCGCCGGACGGCTCCACGAAGGCGCCCCGATGCTGAGCCCGTGCTACCCGTCCAGTCACGATCCAACCAAGCCACTCGATGCAGCTCAGTGCACCGCTGAGCAAGAGCTTCTTCTCAACTCGACTCTGGCGTCGAACGAGTTTCCTTGGTATCACAACGTCCGTCACCACAACCACCCATTCGCCGCATGATTTGTAGTTGCTTTGCTAAGGTGCGATGTGAGAATAGTTCGTTTGGTCGACCTGCCAAGCCAGCGGCGCATCATGCCCCATCCCTTCGTCGCCCCCATCACCCAAAACTTCTTGTGCGCAAGGGAGTATCTCCCCGCGATACGTGGAGGTGCGAAGTGTAGAGGACGTCCAAGCCACTCTCAACTTCACCAGATCTCACGGACTCCGACTCGTCATCAAAAACACCGGTCATGATTACAAGGGCCGGAGCTCCGCGCCGGAATCTCTTGCGCTGTGGTGGGGTATCCTCCTCTCCTCTGCTGCCCCTGAGACAAGGCAAAGTTGACTAGTCTGTAGGACGCATCCATACCAACCTCCAATGCAGCTTCTCAAGAATTTCACTCCCGAAGGCTGCTCGGCCCCGACGGGAGATGTGATTAGATTCGGGGCGGGACAACAGTTCAAAGGCATCTATGACTTTGTGCATGCACGGGGGTATCGGGTTGTGGGAGGCGGGTGCGATACTGTTGGGGCCGCAGGGGGATGGATCACTGGTGGTGGGCATGGGCTTATGGCGAATGAGCTTGGTGAGTGGAACCCCTGGGACGTTTATCTGCGTTCCTGCCGCGCGCGTGAGGATTGACAGTGAGCCAGGTCTTGGGGTCGACAATGTGCAAGAAATCAAGGTCGTACTGGCCAACGGGACATATGCCACTGCGAGTCGCTGTCAGAATCCGGATCTGTTCTTCGCGCTGCGCGGCGGCGGCGGCGGAACCTTTGGCGTCGTGATGGAGATGAGCACCCTCGTCCATCCGGATCGACCGATGGAAGTCTTGAATGTTTCCTTGACCGGGCTGGATCCCTCCTCTTCCGCCGCAACGGATCTCACGGCCTTGATCATTGCGAGTGCCGAGGGATGGGCTGCCGAGGGATGGGGTGGATTCGTGATTCCTGGCCTAGCAGACTACACCTTGGTGATAGCCACGGCTCTACTGAACCACACGGCCGCGATAGCGTCCGTGCAGCCAGTGCTCGACTTTGCTCGCCAGTTCAATCACTCGGTGGCCACCCTCTCCTCGGTGGCCGGGTTCCTCGACTTCATGGGGCCCATCACCTCGAGCCCACTCCTGCAAATGTCGGAGGTCTCCGCCGCCGTCTCGTCGCGGATCATTCCACGAACGTCGTTCCAGAACACAACGAGCCAGGCTCAGCTGGCTGAGCTGATTACCCAACTGCTGGGCTTGAACGACACTCTGCAAACATCCCCCTCACCCCAGGTCGAGATTCTTCTTGTCGCTCCGGCGCTGTATTCCCAGAATCTGCCGAGGGAAGATGAGTTTTCCGGACCCGGGGCGTCATCGGTAACGCCGGCCTGGCGCAGTGGGCTCTGGCATCTCATGCACACACGCCCCATAGCCAGCAACATGAGGGATCCAGAGCTCATCCGGCAGATCTGGCAGAGTGTTTCCCACGCCTTGGATCCTCTGCGGCAGTTCACACCCGATTCCGGTGCTTACCAAAACGAAGCTGACCCGTTTGAGCCGGACCCCATCAGTGCGTTCTGGGGCAAGGCAAACTATGAGCGTCTTCTTCGCATCAAGAAAGCGGTAGATCCAGAAAACATGTTCACGGTGCATCAAGGGGTGGGTTGGGACCGGAACGATGGGAGGTATCAGTGTTATCCAGATGTGTAGATGCGTCCACGTGCTGCGTGAAGGTGGTTTCGGGTCACTAGACTGTATACTCTATACTCAAGTATCGTACCTAGCAGTAGACAGTCCAGTCAGCAACGCATTAGAGCATACAATACACTTCAAGCAGCAGCAGCAGCAGCAGCAGCAGTAGCAGTAGTAGTAGTAGTAGTAGTAGTAGTCGTAGTAGTAGTAGTAGTAGTAGTAGTAGTAGTAGTAGTAGTAGTAGTAGTAGTAGTAGTAGTAGTAGTAGTAGTAGTAGTAGTAGTAGTAGTAGT